TTTAATATTACCGATATGTCATCGAAAAGAAAACGTGTTGTATTATTATTAAAAGACAAATTAAAGTATTTGTTTCGATTATCCGGATTTTTCCTTATCCGGACTACCTTCATCCCCAATTAGTCTGGATAATCGAGGTTCTACTGTAGTTTTTAACTATTTAAATAAATAATACTGGATTTTAAAAATAATAAAACTTAAAAGCTAAAATACTGATAGCATTATAGAAAGGTTGTATATAGGATTGATCATATATTAAATATTTACTCTTTTCATACAGTCAATTTCATAATTAGAACATTGCCCCAAAAACTATGAATTTGGGATAAGGTATGAATGACATAAAATGATTTTTTTTAACAAAGTAATAGAATATGGTTGAAAACAATCAATTTGTTAAAAACTGTTTTTCTTGAATCATTTTTTTTTTTGAAAGATCAAAAATTAAAATATTGCCTATTTCACTTTTTTAATGCCACTCATGCAAATTAGTTTTCAAAGATTTATCCATGATGTACAGTAAATTAATTTTGACAAGATGCTATGTAGACTTCAGATAAGTGAACACAAAATTGGTCAAATAGTGGCTTATATCTTATGGTAATGAAGAACTTTTGCTCAATTATGTATGAGTTAGGTTGTTCACTGCACATAATACAAAATTTTATGAACAATGCTGATAAATATGGAAGGAAGAAACTACATTATGTGTTTTGCATCTGAAATTTGGCTTCATCTTCCTACATCCAAAATATTGAATGTAGGAAGATGAAGCCAGAGTCACACTTACTTCCTTGGCACATTGTTGCATATTTGGACTTCTCTGAGAAAAACATGGCTTGTGACTGGAAAAAGTAAGATTTTTCATTTGATTTATTTGGTTCAACATTACTTAATATTTTACTGGTCATGTAGGTTATTTTTCTTATGAAAAAAAATTCAATCTGGACAGACTAGATGGTTTCAGTGGTTACTGGAGAAATTTTCAAAAAAATCCACAGTTTTTTCCAAACAAAACTTTGGTGGTGAAAGCATTATGGTATGGGTGGAAATCTTCTGGCTTGGCGAGCTTGAGTTTACTATGAAGAATATAGATTACATTCAATCTTTTTTATGGGCTGACTGCAGAGACAATGTTTAGATACAGATGATGGTTTAGAGATCATCTAGACCAGTGTTTCTCAACCCAAAACTCATCACAGACTGGAAAATATCTGCTTTTTTTAAATGGACCGGTGACAATATTATTTTTAATTGAAAAAAATTCTCTGTTGTAAAAAGAACTGCAAACTACATCGAGCAATAAATATTTGTTATTTTATTTACCAGTACATTAGTATACAAATCAATGTGATTGCTGCTTTTCTTTTTTGCTAGTATGATCATCAATTCTTGGATTTAAGGTGGTAACTGCAAGGCGTAAGGCAGAACTAACACTTAAACAGTTTCGTTGTTTCGATTTTATCATTGCCATTGCTGAAAACGTTGATTCACATTAGTATGTTGTTGAAAAAGATAGTAACATCCTAACTGCCTTTTTATGTAAAACTGGATATTCAGTTTTAACTTTAATCCAAAACTGTGTTATGGGCATTGATTCAAACAATGTGTTTAATCCCAAGTCTGAACTTAATTTAATTAGTTTTTCCTGTTCAAAGTCGTTCAATCTATTAGTTTGCTGATCAATAAATGGATTAATAATCCACATATTTCCTATTCGGCGATCTTCAGGTGGATAATATTCGTTAAATGCACAAGGAAGTCCTTGCAGATGTTCACAGACCATATGATTTATGTATTTTATATTCAGATCTCCTGAATTAATAAAATCTGATAAAGAATGGAACATATCATAGTTGTCTTCTTGTATTCATTTACTCCACAGTATTAACTTCTTTTTAAATGCATCAGTTTTATTGTATAAGTTAAAAATGATAGTGTTATTTCCCTTAAGCCTTAAAAATTTAATTCATTAATAAGGGAAAATATATCTGATAAGTATGACAGTTTCTCAACCCAATTATTGTCTGGAAAAATTTGGATAATTCAGAGTTTTTTTGATATAGAAAAGATTGAACTTCCTCTTTTAATTCAAACAAGCATTTCAAAACACTACCTCACGACAACCATCGCACTTCTGCATGAAGTAACAAATGTTCATGCTCGGATTCCATTTCTTTACACAAAATTGCAAACAATCTCGAATTCAATGTGTTACACCTAATAAAGTTTACAATTCTTACACATTGGGAAAGTATGTCATTTAGTTGGGAAAACATTTTGTTGCTGCCAAATGCTCCCGATGTATAAAACAGTGAGTAAATATCATCCCATCAGCAGCTACTGCTTTTATTTTTGTTATAACTCCAGAATGTTTGCCTGTCGTACATGCTGCTCCATCGGTACATAGACCAACACAATTTTTCCAGACAAGGGAATTATTTTCAATGTAGTTATTAGCAGCTTTGTATATTTCAGTACTAGTTGTATGACTTTCTAATTTCAGACGACAAAGTAATTCTTCTTTTACATCATAGACTTCATAATCAATGTAACGGACATAGCATAAAATAACGTCATTATTTGACACATCAGTTGATTCGTCCATTTGAATTGCAAACAATATTGATTCTTTTTTTGATGATATGAAACCGTGCTTTGCTATTTGTTTATGCTTCTGACACAATATAGTGCTATAAATTAAGACACTTGATCATTTCAACTAAATAAAGATGAGAAAATCCGCCAAGTGTCTTAATTTATAGCACTATATTGTGTCAGAAGCATAAACATAAATATTGATTCTTTTAATTTTTGAATTAGTTGATATTCTACATCAGCCGATAATTTGGAAATTCTGTGTTGAATTGTGTTATTAGATAGAGAAAGAGTTTTCATTTTATCAGCAGCTATAGGGCCTAGCAATTCTGAACACACATCGATTAAGCATGGCTTTACTAAATCCTTGGCAATTGAGTAAGGCTTTTTGATTTTGAAATTCGTAAAGCTACTAAATATGAAGCTTTCACAATTGATTTTTCAACTGAAAAGCATTTTTTAAAAGAAGATATTTGTTGTTTTAATTCAAGACTTTTTCGTTCAAAAAAAGTTATTGGCATGTTTTCCAGTTGTGGATGTTTAGATTTTAAATGATGTTTAACTTTAAATGATGTTTAGCTGTAAATGATAGTTTAGCTGGTTTCATGCATTCATTTGACAGAATGTCTTTACAAACAACACACTGTGGTCTTTGCACAGATGCTAAACTGTGTCAAGCTTCTTGCTTGACACAGTTTAGAAAGTGTTTAGAAACTGGTAATTTGACCTACTTTCTAGACTCAATTAATTGCCTAGATTGGAATTAATATAATTAATTACTTTGAATTTGTTTTAAATGTTCTAGTTCTGATATCCAAACAGGTGAAGACTTAAGACTACAATTAAACCAGATGTTTTTATTTATACAGTCGACCCCCCTATAATACTGTTGATAATTCCATTTTATATGAATTAATGTTATATGAGTCACTTAGATTTTACAAATACGTGAGCCATTCACAGCCCAGCACATGTATTTGTAAAATTTAAGTGACTCATACAACATGGAATTCACATAAAACGGAATTATCAACAGTGTTATAGGGATTGACTGTAATTCAAATATCATGTCAGTTATAAAATGTTAATGTATTTCAGGGTCATTATCATTAATCCTCTGGTCAGAATGTTCTGTTAAACAAACAAGGCAATTTTAATAATTACCAAAACTTTTTATAATAATAATAATTTATTTAAAATTATTCATTTTGACAATTATGAACGGAAAGAGTAATATTAGTGTTAAAAATTTTTTTATTGATGTTAAACAGGTTCTTCCTGCTGTTTGAAAGTAGAGCATTCCTATGACATGTTTTTAAGTTAAAATGGTATAAAGGTGAAGCAGCAATTACAATTAATTTATACAGAAAAAATTTTTCAGCATTTCCAAACTCAAAATTAACTTACTGAATCATACTAAATAATGCATAAAATAATACTAGCATGGAGTAAAAGCAGGAATGATATGGTAAATACTTAGCCTAAGTAAAGTAGAAATGTATGTATAGTACAATGTAGTCTGTAAAACTGCACTGGAAATATTCTCTCCATTAAATATCTTTGAAGCTATAAAACTGTCTTCATCTCAAACTGATCAATGCATCCATGACTGCCTTTAAATTTCACTTTTTTAACACTTTTATTATCCATACTTAACACCATTATCTATACTTTCTGTTTCAGTTTATTGAAAAAAACTGGCTTATTTCTTATTAAGTAAAGATAACAAAACACCACACTTTGTACCATACATCCATCAGTCCATTCAAACAATAGTTTCCATTTTATTATTTTATTTTTGTTAATAGATGCAGAGAATAAATTGACATAAATCATAGATGCTCACAGACACAATTCAAAGCTAACAGCTTGATGGTTGATGCTGAATATAGTTCCAAGGGAAGAAGCTTGGGTATTTCTCTTGCTATTTGCTGCTTGGAGTGTACAATGCCTCTAAAATGGCTTGCTGCAAAACTTATGTATGCTAAATGCTATTTTTGCTTTTTGCCTTTTTTTCATAAAAGTGAACATTTTCTTTGGATTTCTTTCACTATATGAAAATAGGTAATAATATAAGTTTTTTGTAAAAGTGAAGTAGCATAAAGTGAACTCTTGTAAAACAGGGAATATCAGTATACACAAAACTGATAAATTTATCTTCTTATTATAAAATTTACACATTTGTTGACTTAATTTGAATAAATACAATTCATTTAACTATTATGTGCAATACTCATATACAGATATTAATACAATATCACTATATTGATATCTGTATATTGTCCAGATTTATAATTTTTGGGGCGATGTTATAATTATGAAACTGACTTTATATTTATGATACACTCATTTATTTTATTATTTGATTTTCAAGCAAGTATTTAATATTTCATCATTAATGACTTCATTAATAGCTACCTAGTCAGCCTTCTGAATGGACAGAAATGAATAAAGATAATTGTGTTAATTCTGTAATTGGTTCTGCTATACCAAATGTAGAGAATGAAACATCACCTGAAATTACAGAAAATTCTTCAGGTAAATTAAGAAAATGTTATTTAAAAAATTTAATAACTTAACCCTTTTAATTGCTAATTGTAATAAAATTTAGACATTTAGTTTTGAAATATCTTTATTTCAATTAGAAAACTGAATCAAATGCAAATATCCTAAAATTCAGTCATATTATAGAATATATTTTATTTTTAAACATTATATAGTAGAAGTGCTATATCAGTTCATTCTTTATTCCTGCATATTACATATTTGTAGTTTAGTTTTGCAACCAATTTTTCTATTCATGAATCTAAAATTCATGTATTTGAGGAAAGATTAATAAAGATAAAGAAGCAACAGATAGAAACAATTAAATGATTTTTAATTCTTTTATCTTAAATTCTTTTAATGCAATTCTTGTGTTAACAAATGTTAGACCATACTAATATTTACTATTTCATAGTTTTTTAAAGTCGTTTTGGTACATATATGAACAGTAAATATTATATTTTATAACAGTATGTATTGAGTGTTATAGATTTTTTTTTTCCTTCATTAGCAATTCTATCTAAAGAAAAAGTCTAGTGACAAAATATTAAAATGATTAAAGAAAGAATTAATGACTTTAGCTTGGCTTTAGCAAAGAACCAAATTGGCTTGGGCCTAACTTTCTATGCAGAAATTCTCTGCTTTTTATAGTGATCATACCAGATGATAACTGGCTGATCCATTTTCTTTTTTACTCAGAAATGAAAAAAACAACAAAATTATTTCATTGGTTTGGAAAAGCAAATTGACCTAAATTCCAGCCTTGATTCACTACTTCTTGCATGAGAAACACAAGATTGGCAAAGAAGAAAAGGGGAAAGAGACAAGATGATTTATTCCAGATCTAACTAAAATGTTATTAAAAATGATTCATAAGAAAGAAGACTATTTTACTTATGCTGATTAGTGGTTTATATTTTTACTTTTTCTTACAAAAAAATTTTTTCCTTTATTTTAACTCATTGATTTGACTTGACTTATGGTTAGAAAATTACTGATGAATGAATTTAAATATTAGAGAAGATTTTGATCATTCCTTCTAGCAAATTACAAATATTTCTTACAACTATATGACATAAAACAGACTATTTACTGTTGTAGCTCTCATTCAACAGTTATATCTTTTGATATAATAAAATATACTATACTAATATCACTATAATTTATTTTATTTTTAAAAAATTTTTCCTGATTCCCAAAATTTAGTTTTGATGGATTATTTGATTTGCTTTTTTGGTGATATGAATTTAAGGGGGAAAAGATTTTAATTTCATGCCCTAAATAGTAATTTAGTGCATGAAATAAATAAATAAATAAATAAATTATAGTGATATTAGTATAGTATATTTTATTATATCAAAAGATATAACTGTTGAATGAGAGCTACAACAGTAAATAGTCTGTTTTATGTCATATAGTTGTAAGAAATATTTGTAATTTGCTAGAAGGAATGATCAAAATCTTCTCTAATATTTAAATTCATTCATCAGTAATTTTCTAACCATAAGTCAAGTCAAATCAATGAGTTAAAATAAAGGAAAAATTTTTTTTGTAAGAAAAAGTAAAAATATAAACCACTAATCAGCGTAAGTAAAATAGTCTTCTTTCTTATGAATCATTTTTAATAACATTTTAGTTAGATCTGGAATAAATCATCTTGTCTCTTTCCCCTTTTCTTCTTTGCCAATCTTGTGTTTCTCATGCAAGAAGTAGTGAATCAAGGCTGGAATTTAGGTCAATTTGCTTTTCCAAACCAATGAAATAATTTTGTTGTTTTTTTCATTTCTGAGTAAAAAAGAAAATGGATCAGCCAGTTATCATCTGGTATGATCACTATAAAGAGCAGAGAATTTCTGCATAGAAAGTTAGGCCCAAGCCAATTTGGTTCTTTGCTAAAGCCAAGCTAAAGTCATTAATTCTTTCTTTAATCATTTTAATATTTTGTCACTAGACTTTTTCTTTAGATAGAATTGCTAATGAAGGAAAAAAAAAATCTATAACACTCAATACATACTGTTATAAAATATAATATTTACTGTTCATATATGTACCAAAACGACTTTAAAAAACTATGAAATAGTAAATATTAGTATGGTCTAACATTTGTTAACACAAGAATTGCATTAAAAGAATTTAAGATAAAAGAATTAAAAATCATTTAATTGTTTCTATCTGTTGCTTCTTTATCTTTATTAATCTTTCCTCAAATACATGAATTTTAGATTCATGAATAGAAAAATTGGTTGCAAAACTAAACTACAAATATGTAATATGCAGGAATAAAGAATGAACTGATATAGCACTTCTACTATATAATGTTTAAAAATAAAATATATTCTATAATATGACTGAATTTTAGGATATTTGCATTTGATTCAGTTTTCTAATTGAAATAAAGATATTTCAAAACTAAATGTCTAAATTTTATTACAATTAGCAATTAAAAGGGTTAAGTTATTAAATTTTTTAAATAACATTTTCTTAATTTACCTGAAGAATTTTCTGTAATTTCAGGTGATGTTTCATTCTCTACATTTGGTATAGCAGAACCAATTACAGAATTAACACAATTATCTTTATTCATTTCTGTCCATTCAGAAGGCTGACTAGGTAGCTATTAATGAAGTCATTAATGATGAAATATTAAATACTTGCTTGAAAATCAAATAATAAAATAAATGAGTGTATCATAAATATAAAGTCAGTTTCATAATTATAACATCGCCCCAAAAATTATAAATCTGGACAATATACAGATATCAATATAGTGATATTGTATTAATATCTGTATATGAGTATTGCACATAATAGTTAAATGAATTGTATTTATTCAAATTAAGTCAACAAATGTGTAAATTTTATAATAAGAAGATAAATTTATCAGTTTTGTGTATACTGATATTCCCTGTTTTACAAGAGTTCACTTTATGCTACTTCACTTTTACAAAAAACTTATATTATTACCTATTTTCATATAGTGAAAGAAATCCAAAGAAAATGTTCACTTTTATGAAAAAAAGGCAAAAAGCAAAAATAGCATTTAGCATACATAAGTTTTGCAGCAAGCCATTTTAGAGGCATTGTACACTCCAAGCAGCAAATAGCAAGAGAAATACCCAAGCTTCTTCCCTTGGAACTATATTCAGCATCAACCATCAAGCTGTTAGCTTTGAATTGTGTCTGTGAGCATCTATGATTTATGTCAATTTATTCTCTGCATCTATTAACAAAAATAAAATAATAAAATGGAAACTATTGTTTGAATGGACTGATGGATGTATGGTACAAAGTGTGGTGTTTTGTTATCTTTACTTAATAAGAAATAAGCCAGTTTTTTTCAATAAACTGAAACAGAAAGTATAGATAATGGTGTTAAGTATGGATAATAAAAGTGTTAAAAAAGTGAAATTTAAAGGCAGTCATGGATGCATTGATCAGTTTGAGATGAAGACAGTTTTATAGCTTCAAAGATATTTAATGGAGAGAATATTTCCAGTGCAGTTTTACAGACTACATTGTACTATACATACATTTCTACTTTACTTAGGCTAAGTATTTACCATATCATTCCTGCTTTTACTCCATGCTAGTATTATTTTATGCATTATTTAGTATGATTCAGTAAGTTAATTTTGAGTTTGGAAATGCTGAAAAATTTTTTCTGTATAAATTAATTGTAATTGCTGCTTCACCTTTATACCATTTTAACTTAAAAACATGTCATAGGAATGCTCTACTTTCAAACAGCAGGAAGAACCTGTTTAACATCAATAAAAAAATTTTTAACACTAATATTACTCTTTCCGTTCATAATTGTCAAAATGAATAATTTTAAATAAATTATTATTATTATAAAAAGTTTTGGTAATTATTAAAATTGCCTTGTTTGTTTAACAGAACATTCTGACCAGAGGATTAATGATAATGACCCTGAAATACATTAACATTTTATAACTGACATGATATTTGAATTACAGTCAATCCCTATAACACTGTTGATAATTCCGTTTTATGTGAATTCCATGTTGTATGAGTCACTTAAATTTTACAAATACATGTGCTGGGCTGTGAATGGCTCACGTATTTGTAAAATCTAAGTGACTCATATAACATTAATTCATATAAAATGGAATTATCAACAGTATTATAGGGGGGTCGACTGTATAAATAAAAACATCTGGTTTAATTGTAGTCTTAAGTCTTCACCTGTTTGGATATCAGAACTAGAACATTTAAAACAAATTCAAAGTAATTAATTATATTAATTCCAATCTAGGCAATTAATTGAGTCTAGAAAGTAGGTCAAATTACCAGTTTCTAAACACTTTCTAAACTGTGTCAAGCAAGAAGCTTGACACAGTTTAGCATCTGTGCAAAGACCACAGTGTGTTGTTTGTAAAGACATTCTGTCAAATGAATGCATGAAACCAGCTAAACTATCATTTACAGCTAAACATCATTTAAAGTTAAACATCATTTAAAATCTAAACATCCACAACTGGAAAACATGCCAATAACTTTTTTTGAACGAAAAAGTCTTGAATTAAAACAACAAATATCTTCTTTTAAAAAATGCTTTTCAGTTGAAAAATCAATTGTGAAAGCTTCATATTTAGTAGCTTTACGAATTTCAAAATCAAAAAGCCTTACTCAATTGCCAAGGATTTAGTAAAGCCATGCTTAATCGATGTGTGTTCAGAATTGCTAGGCCCTATAGCTGCTGATAAAATGAAAACTCTTTCTCTATCTAATAACACAATTCAACACAGAATTTCCAAATTATCGGCTGATGTAGAATATCAACTAATTCAAAAATTAAAAGAATCAATATTTATGTTTATGCTTCTGACACAATATAGTGCTATAAATTAAGACACTTGGCGGATTTTCTCATCTTTATTTAGTTGAAATGATCAAGTGTCTTAATTTATAGCACTATATTGTGTCAGAAGCATAAACAAATAGCAAAGCACGGTTTCATATCATCAAAAAAA